TAAAAAGCTTTTTTTTTAAAAAGAGAGAACTAATCAGAAATCATTCTAGAAAAAATGGAATAACTGAAGTAATTTTTGTTTCCCAGTACAGTCAAAATAAGGTATGCTCTGCCCCTTTTATCAGCTGATGCTTTTTTATTTTTCTTTTTTTCTTCCAATTGAAAGAATTGTGTGAAGTTGGGCTAACATGGCTTCTAGAAGGGCAGTGTGCCTGGCTGGCTAAGGCTGTCGCTGATAAGAACATCCAGTGTGAAATCTGTGGTAAATATGGGCGTTTTCAGGCCACCAGGGCTGGAAGTTGGGCTTTGGTGAGAAGCGGGTGCTCCCCCTTCCCACGCTTACAGGTTGCATCATCAGTGACAGCGCGGAGCACTCGGCTGTGCAGAGTCGGGAGGTGACGTGAAGCACGTCAAAGCGTCTGTGCAAATGGGGTGAAAAGGTACAAAGAGGTTTGTTGCTCCTCTTGGCTGCTTCTTCCAGGAGCCCGCTCCTCCAACGCGTCGCCGTGTCGATGGGAAGCTGTTTGTGGCACGCGCCTCGACGCGGGAGCTCGGCGAGCTGCTGCGGCCGTCCGGAGGTGTCGGTTAAAAGGCTCCGGGCTGCGCCGCCGCATAAAGCTGCTTTGTTTGATTCTCCTTGTGAACCCGTTCCACCAAACGTGAGAGCCGGTTTCGTGTCGGAGTCTGGCTGGTGGTTTCAGGGAAGCAGATGCCGAAGCAGCTCGCTCGCTCCGAAATATGTCAATGTTTTGTGTGCTGCTATTTCCATGGAAACAGGTATTGGCTCGGCAGAAATGGCACAGGGATTTCAAAATCACATTTGAGAAAACAAACCCAGGATGGGTTAGTCATTCTTATTTTTAGTCATAAACACCGGTGGTGGTGCTGAGCAGAACCTGAATTTGAATCTGTTCGGTGTAGTCATGCGAGTCACAGGTCAGTGATGAATATTTTCAATGAATGTTGTTAAAAGGCGAGCTAGTGTTTGATAGGCCTTCACTGCAAGACCTGCGTTTGCTGCCCTGTGTGCAGCACGCGCCCTTCTACGCGCGGGAAGGCAACGGAAGGCAACCGTGGTTCTGTCACTTCATTAGGCCTCCGCCTTCCTCAAAAGAGGTGAAATTTGTGTTGGGTGAGAAGGTATTTTTTTAAAAGCACAGTTTGGCGACTGGCTGAAATCTGTCAAAGTGGCTCATGAAACACAGAACCGGTAATTTGTGAGTTTGTCATCTTCAGCAGCATGTGACAATGAAGCAAGCCCCATTTTGGGGGACGTTTGCTTTAGGAATAGCTTCCTTACAGCCCCAGCAGTTACCCCAGCTCAGCCTTGGTGCCACATTGAAAACGAGGATTAAACGAGCGGGACTTGTTGCCTCCCGGGATGTTGTACAAAGAACAAATCTCACAGGGAGCCGAGGACAAGGAGCTCCAGGAATTCCTGAGAAATGGAGATGCCCCTACTTGTTGTCTTGCATCTTCGCCTTGATTATTCAGACATTTGTTTTCCAGCTCAAGCGGTGGTTCGGTGCCTTTCTTCACTGGGAATCGGGTACCCCACGTCCTCTGGAGCAGCGGTTCCCAGCCGGTGAAGAGCTGTTGGAAGCGGGCACGGAGTGGGAGAGGAGAGGAGCTGCGGCGTTCCGCTGGCAGGCAGGGCTGCGAGGGGAGAACCCAGCGTGAGCGCGGGCCAGGAGGGGCTGCTGGCCGTGTGAGGAGGAGGAGGGCAGCGAGGCAGAGCTGCAGGCCTGGAGGAGGAATGGGAGGAGAAGCAGCGGTTCCCAGCCGGTGAAGAGCTGTTGGAAGCGGGCACGGAGTGGGAGAGGAGAGGAGCTGCGGCGTTCCGCTGGCAGGCAGGGCTGCGAGGGGAGAACCCAGCGTGAGCGCGGGCCAGGAGGGGCTGCTGGCCGTGTGAGGAGGAGGAGGGCAGCGAGGCAGAGCTGCAGGCCTGGAGGAGGAATGGGAGGAGAAGGTGGC